TTCGGGATCGACGTGGACGTTGAGGGTCGCTGCAGTCTCGCCAGGGTGGCCCGGCGGCTTCGAGCACATCATTTTGGAGGAGGCGCACGCGAAGCTGCGGGGCATGGAGGCGCGCCTGCATCGGCTTGCAGAGCCGGGGCGCCGGGCGCTGCACGCCGGCGACAACGCGCAGTGCGAGGGCGCGTTCATGAAGGGCCGCAGCGCCAGCCGCAAGCTGAATCGGCGGTGCCGTCGCGGCGCTGCCATCGAGGTGGCGGCGGCTTCTCGCCCTTCCACTTCTGGATCTCCACGCGCAAAGATCTTGCGGACGAGCCCAGCAGCGGGCACGGCGCGCGGGCGACGGGCGAGCGACATCAGCAACCGCAGCCCCTGCCGCGCCAGGAGGCGGTGCTCGCCGCGCCCGCGGGCTGGGGCCGCCGGGAGGCCATCTTCCTGCACCTCTGCCCGGGGCCCAGGCGCGAGGGCGACCTCTGCGACATGATCGAGCAGGAGGCGCGCGAGGCAGGCCTTGTGGTGGCGGCGGTAGCCTATGACCCCGTCGTCGATGCCAGCCTGGTGCAGGAGCTGAGGGGGCTCTGCAGCAGCGGCGACGCGATCGGCTTTTTCGCTGGGCCGCCCTGCTCGACGGTGAGCCGCGCCAGGCACCGCCCGCTTGCTGGGCGCCAGGAGCCGAGGCCTCTGCGCGCGAGATGCGAGCCGCTCTTGCTTTTGCCAGGACTCACGGACACCGAGCGCCGAGCTTGCGCGCTGGGAACGCACCTTCCTCCTCTGCCTCGAGCTCTTCACCCGAGTCACCCTTTGCGGGGGGTGGGCAGGCCAGGAGCACCCTCAGGATCCAGGGCGTCAGCCGTTCCCCTCGTTCTGGTGCTCTCGAGAGGTCATCGAGTGGATCACAGAGTTCGGGCTGCATATCGTTTCGTTCGATCAATGTCGACACGGGGCCTCATCGCAGAAGCCGACGTCCATTGTCACGAATGACGCTGAGACTGGGGAGTTCTGGGGCATCGCTGCAACCACCGACACAGGCACAAAGAAGTTTATGGGCTAGCACATGGTGGGGGGGTTCGTCACAGCTCAACTCGCTCGATATCCTCCGCAGCTGTGCCAGGCTCTGGCTCGCCTGGCGGTCGGCCCCCTTGCGAAGACCCAGGAGCGGCCGCGTCATGGACGACGATCCTGGCAGGCGCCGCGGGCGCATCATTACCTTCTTGATGAGCGCGCTGAAGCCGGTGACCACCCAGAGGTACGCCGCGGCCCTCATCGATTTCAGCTCTGATCTCAAAGCACTGGGCCTGGGCGTTGAGCAGCTCACCGAGGAGGAGCTCGACTGGTTCCTGGCCGAGTGCGTGGTGGACCTGTTCGAGGAGTCGGGAGGCGTCGAGGGCTTGGGGACTGCCTCCACGCTGCTGGCCTCGCTCGCGAAGGCGAATCCTCGGCGCCGCTACCGCGCTGCCTGGAAGGCGCTGGACGCGCGGCGCACTCGGCGGCCGCCCTTGGAGGCGCCCGCCCTTCCAGCCGCGCTCGCCCTCGGGATCGTGAACTGGCTCGTCCTGGCCGGGGAGTTCGGCTGCGCCGCAGCCGCGTTGCTTTGTTTCGCGGGCCTGCTGCGGGCCTCGGAGGCGCTGACGCTGAACGGCAGCACCTGGGTCAGGACCGCCACGGGTTTCGCGGCTCTGCTCGGCCGCGCCAAGCGTGGAGCTGAGCAGAAGGTCCTTTTCGAGGAGCCGTCCGTCGTGGCCTGGTTCGATCGCTACTGCTCACGTTTCCCCGAGAGGTCGGCTCGCGAGTACCTGCGCCGAGGGGAGGTGAGTCTCGCCAGATTGCGCGTGGACATTTCTGCGAATTCATGGTCTCTTGCCGACCGTTACTGCGCAGTCGGATCCCAAGTGTGGGGCGTGGTCTGACTGCAAAGTTCTCTTTTGTCTGATCTAATTAAGAGCTTTCGATGGAATGGGGAGTGTGGCGAGGCATTGGCCTGCGCGGGCAAATATCCGAGTTGCCATGGCGTCTCGATTCCCTTTGAATAAAGTGTGCCTCTTTACTCTGCACGCTTAGCGTGCTGCCTCCCCTGACGGGTCGGAGAGTAGCATGTAGGTGGCTTTCCTAAATAGTCAGAGCTTGCTAGATGGTTGTCGGAATGCTAGTTGTCTCATCCAGTCTCGTCTCCACTTCAGGACAGCTTCGATGCATGCTGTTATTATTTGGCCCCGCTGCGCTCCCACCCACCCGTGGTGGTCCGATACTCATCAGTGGAGTGCGCAGGGTCAATGCATGTGCTCTGTACGGCGAGGCACTGGCCTGCGCGGGCAAATATCCGAGTTGCCATGGCGTCTCGATTCCCTTTGAACAAAGTGTGCCCATTTATTATTGCACGCTTCGCGTGCTCCCTCCCCTAACAGGGGTCGGAGAGTAGGATGTAGGTGGCTTTCCTAAACAAACACATACATATACGTATACAAATACAAATACCTTTACATAACTATAAAATCATATACATATACATATACGTACATACATACACACAAAAATGTAGACATACATAAGTGCATGTATGCATGCATGAGCAACTATATACAAATACAGACTGGCACGCAGACAGTTTGGCATCCATACTTACATACATCCATACATAGGTACATACGTGTGTACGTATGTGCGTATATAGACATTGAAATACATACGTTAACGCATTCACACATGCATGTCGAAGTACATACAAATATACATACATACATTGATACAGACACGTATGCATACCTACATGCATGTATGCATGCATGCAGACTTCCTGCATGCATATCTACGTAGACGCATATATATATATATATATACACATAAATATATAACATAATACAATATATATACATTGACAGGCATACACACAAGACATACAGACAAACGTGCATACATACAGGCAGACAGACAGACAGATTGGCATACATACCTACATGCATGTTAAATGCGTGTGTACGTGTGTGCGTATGTACGTACATACATACATGCATACATGCGTGCATACGTACATACCGGCATGCATGCATACATGCACACAAACAGATATACAACATGTATATACGTATAGATGTGGATGTGTATACAAAAAAGCATACATACACACATACACACAAATACGTACATACACACAACACGTACATATATACATACATGCATGCATACATGCGTACATACGTACGTACGTACGTACGTGCATATTTACATACACACAGACATACCTACAAGCAGACGCACAGGCATGCAAATACAATAATACAAACCTATGTACACATACATACATCCAGTCGTACCCATAGACATACAGTCATTGAAACATGTGTATATCTACATGTGACACTATAGATAGGTGCATGTATACCTATGTATGATGACAGCCAGCATTGAGCCCAAACGATAAGGTGTTGACATTGTGGATGTGCGAGCTGTACGGTGCAAGCGGTGTGGTGTAAGCTATTGGTGCAGTATACGTGGTGCAAGCTACAGGCGGCAACGGGTGGCAACGTGGTGAACCTTCGCTGGACCCAACCAGCGACTGGCGGCAACGAGGCGGCGCAAAGTGGCGAAATCTCGCAGGACCCGGCCAACGTATCCTCCGACGCACGAGGCGGCAACTAGGGACAACGTGGCGAAACCTCGCCAGACCCACCAAGCCCACGAGGCAGCAACGAGACGGCAACGAGGCGGCAACGTGGCGAAATCTCGCCAAACTCACCCAGCGCGAAACCTCGCCAGAACCAACCAATTCTTTAGGGAGGCAAGGTAGAACCCTAAGTGCAAGTTTTGCTTCGAGAATATATCTGTTCTAAAGGACGTGCCGGCTCCCCTGGACCTGGAATCGATGGCACGACGGTCTTTGGTTTCCCGTGTAGTGTCCCGTATGGTTTTTTTGTGCATGGTCTATGTATGGTATTCATTATGGTATCATTTGTGGCCTCCGTTGTGGTCTCCCTTATGTTCTCCCCTGATGGCATTCCTTTTGGCCTCATGTCTAGTACCCTCCTTCTGTCCTTCGCGGCCGCCCTGTCTGTCTTCTCCCCCCCCTCCTGCATGCCGGCCAATTCGCGTTTCGGTCGCCCCGGTCGTTCACCATTGGTGCAGATCTTTGCCTCGCCGCCGACGAAAAGAAAAGTTTAGTGCTCTCTAGAGTACTCTCTATGCTACGCCTCGTGTTCTCTAGTTTTCTCTACAGTGGATATATTCAATGCTCTGAAGAGCTGTTTGGGGTCTTCTGCTGCAAGGGGCGTAACCATCGGCCTTCAGCGAAGCCCAAGATCGGCTGAACAGTGTGCCCCAGATTCCGTCGGGTACAGCCAGGACCCCAGTCAACGGGAGCGGGCTAGTTATTGGGCCCCGAAGCCCAAAAGATCAATTGGAATCACTAAACCATGTCTGCCGTAGCTGGTTTTTCTTCGTGTGATGGCAGTTCCGTTTAGTGGAATACTATAATAGGGTGGTGAGGGCGTCCCCCGGTGCACACCCCTAAACCAGGTCCCACTAAACCCAGTCTTGCCAACGCCCGATTTCTGATCGCAAGGTTTCTGAAAGCATGCATCTGTTGTAGCCTGTGACCCTGCCCTTTGTGCCTCTGTCCGGGACAAAACGAGAAAGCACTGCATAACACAAGTTTGCGGAGATCCGCGCGGATTTCTTGGATCCGCGCTGGACCCTCTCTGGCGCACGGAGCGCATTTGTTAGGGGGGGCCAGCGCGAACCCAGGGAATCCGCGCGGCTTCCCGAAAGTTAGTATGCTCACGTTGTTTTCTACTCCTCGATGGTCGGGAGGGAAAAGGTTCTCAATGACGCGCCGCTGTTGGGAGCCCGTCAACGTATTACTCCTTTTTGTTCTGTCTGAAGACCTGGTGCTTCTTCAGCAGCAGCACGGTGATGGCTTCCCCACGGCGGCATGTCACTGATTTGTCTTTTCCTCCCCCGGATGGGAGGGCGGGGCGGGTGCCTCCTCCGTGGCCCCCCTCCCCCTCTGCGAGAGCCTGGCCAACCCCGGTGGCGTCGTGAGCGACCTGCGCACGCTCGCCGACCTCGCCCACGGGGCGGGGGTCCCCCTCGTGGTGGACAACACCCTCGCGACGCCGTTCCTCTGCAGGCCCATCGACCACGGCGCCGACATCTCGGGTCGGACGAGGAGGGGGGAGGCGGGGGCGGGGATTGGAGAGGGGGGGTCCCAGATCTCCGACGACATCGCGTGTGGATCCTGGGCGTCTTCCCTCACTCTCGACCTCTGGGCCCGCCCTCGGGCCACGGGACGGTCAAACACGGACCCCGGACGACAGCAAAAATGCACCCCGGCAGAAGACCCCAGACGGCATCGCGAAAGAGCACACAGAGCATCATGCTGCACTGCTCGCGCGGAAAGACCCAGGACATTGCGGGCGGGAGACCACGCCCCTCCGATCCCTCGGGGGCGGAAAAGAGGGGGGTGATGACTAGGGGGGGTTGAATATCATGGCGGGGGCCATGATATTTCCCCAGATCTCATGGCGCCTCTTCTTGTTTCACTACGTCCCTGGCTCCTCCGCTGGGCCGCGCACATGCCGCCGGTCATGATTTGCACCCCCCCCTCCTGGACACCCCCCTCTTGGCCGCTCCCGACTCCCAGATCCGGCAGGCCACCTCCACGCAAGGGTCCTTGCGGGTGGCCACGCCCCACCAGTTCCGAATTTGGCAGGCCGTCCAGTCGCTGCTCGGAGGCAGCATCGGGAGCCCGGGGTCGGGGACCTCTGGGGCCGCGCAGTGCAAAAAAACAGCAGCAGCAGCAGCAGCGGCAACAATCTGTCTACGACTGTTTGCTCTTACCTGCTCGCGTGCCACTCGACACGAATATCCCAAATAGGGGAACGAAGAATGGCATAAACTTAAACATAAAAACTCGGAGGTCCGCGTGGATTTCTTGGATCCGCGCCGGACCCCCCTCCCTGGCGCGCGGAGCGCGCCAGGGGCGGCGCCGGAGGCGCCGCTAGGGGGCTCCGGCGCGGATCCAAGAAATCCGCGCGGACCTCCGAGTTCTTATATTTATGTCATGTTTCGTTTCCCTACCAAACTCCCAAACCCTCGATGCCCGCCCTCTTCATCTTCGATCGTACCCCCTGGGGGTATATCCTCCTCACCTGCCACGCGTACTCGGTGCAGCCCCTGGACCAGGTGAAGAGAGGGCGGATGGAAGGGGGAGGGAGGAGGATGGAGCACGGGATTGGCAGGGGGGGGGCTCGGAGCAGAAAGCAAGTGGCAGAACCCGACGGGCTGATCGGACGGGTAGACCCTGACGGGCGGGTCGGAAGGCGGCCCAAGCGGCCAGGTCGAGCAGGCGGGTTGCTGAAGCGTGAATATTGCATGAAACGCGAGAAGGTCTCGATCGATAGCGCGATTCCGAGGTGAATCGCGAGAATAGCCAGAGCGAGAGCGCGATTCCTGAGCGTCGAGGGCGCGGCGTTAACATCAATTTCAAGGAAATCACACGCGAGAGCGCGATTCCTGCATAAATTGTGAGGAAGTTCCGCGCGAGAGCGGGACTTTTCAATACATCGTGAGGAAGTATCAGGCGGGAGCGGCTATTGTTACAAATTGGGGGCTGGGGGCATATTTGTGACCCCACACTTTCCCTTGTAAAGCACAAGGTGCGAGCCCCAGGAAGAGCACTTCAATTAAAAAACACAATGGTAATTGGGCAGTGGGGATCAACAAAAAGTATTTTAGAAGCGAGAAAACAACAACAACAACAACAACAACAACAACAACAACAACAACAACAACAACAACAACAACAACAATAAAAACAATAACAATAACAATAACAATAACAATAACAACAATCATTTAAAGACTGTTCGCTCTTATCTGCTCGAGTGTCATCCAACGTGTATTTCCCAAACCCTCGATACCCGCGTCTTCGATCGTACCCCTCTTGGGGTGGACTTTTCGTCCCTGCAGTCCGGGCCCCGGTAAGCGGCGGGGCGGCCGCGGACCGTCGGCCTGGCCAGCGGCAGCGCTGATCGGCGGCAACCCGACCCCAAGAAGGACGGACAGGGGACCGACCACAACGACGACGACGATGACGACGACGACGACGACGACGACGACGACGACGACGACGAGGACGACGAGCGAGAGCGAGAGCGAGAGCGACAGCGGGGCCACGACGGGCAGAAAGGGGGCCACGAAGCGCGACAGCGGGGCCACGAAGGGCACGCGTATGGGGCCACGAAAGGCGCGAACGAGCGGGGGCCACGGAGGGCAGATAATGCGGGGCCACAGAGGGCAACGACAGCTGAGGATAGCAACGGGGGCCACGCAGGGCAGCGAGGGGGCCACGAAGGGCGACAGCGGGGCCACGAAGGGCATGCATACGGGGCCACGGCGGGCGCGAACGAGCGGGGGCCACGGAGGGCATGCGCAGATTGGGCCGCAGAGGGCAAGGACGGGGCCATTGAGGGCAGCAACAGGGCCGCGAAGGGCAGCGAGGGGGCCACGAAGGGCGACAGCGGGGCCACGAAGCGCATCCATACGGGGCCACGACGGGCGCGAACGAGCGGGGGCCACGAAGGGCATACATATATGGGTCCATGAAGGGCAGCGAGGTGGCCACGAAGGGCAGCGAGGGGGCCACGAAGGGCTGCAACGCGGCCACGCCACGAAAGGGTGCAACGGGGCCACGGAGGGCAGCGAGTGGGCCACGAAATGGTGCGACGGGGCCACGGAGGGCAGCGAGGGGGCCACGATGGGCTGCAACGGGGCAACGACGGGGGCGAGCGGGCCACGAAGGGCTGCAGCGGGCCCGCGAAGGACAGCGAGGGGGCCACGAAGGGCTGCAACGGGGCCACGAAGGGAAGCGAGTGGGCCACGAAAGGCTACAACGGGCCCACGAAGGGCCAGGAAGGGCTGCAACGGGGCCACGAAGGGCAGCAAGAGCCCGATTCCGAAGTAAGTTGTGAGGGAGTCCTAAGCGTTAGCGCGATTTATGGGTGCCTGACTGTCGGGAGCGCGGCGTTTGAGTAAAGTGCGGGAAGTTCCAACGCAAAAGCGCGACTCTCGAGTAAATTGCAAGCAAGTCTCCAGCGAGAGCGCGACTCCAGAGCGCCGAGAGAGCGATTCCTTAATTAATTGCACGGAAGTCCCAAGCGAGAGCGCGACTCCTGAGTAAAACGCGAGGAAGTCTCAGGCGGGAGCCGTTGTTGTTGTATTTCGAGGGCCAACACCCCAGGTTGAGCCAAGTGATTTTCTTAGATTTTTAAAAACAAAAACAAAAAATGCGAGCCCCAGGGGAAGCACTTTAATTGAACAGACAATGGTCAGCGGAGGGGGCCGATCAACAAGAATTGTTATTCGGTAGTGAGAGCTCAACAACAACAGCAACAACAACAGTTACCAACAACAACATCAACAACAACAACAGCAGCAGCAGCAACAACATCAACAATACCAAAATCAATACCACACCTGTACGACCACCCTTCGGGTGATGAGGAGGTAGGGGGGAGGAGAAACCAACGTCTCACTCAATCGATCTCACTATCGATCCCACAATCGATTTCACAATCGATCTCACTCGATCGATCTCACTATCGATCTCACTCGATCGATCTCACTATCGATCCCACTACCGGTATCATTATAGATATCACTATCGATCTCAGCACGTGAAACCACGGGACACCGATGGGACACCGACGGGACACAATCGATCTCACTGTCGATGTCACTATCCATCCCACGATCGATCCCATTATCGATCTCGCTATCGACATCCCTATTAATAACGATTTCGATCTCACTATTCATCTTACCATCGATTCCCCGATCGATCTCGCTATCGATCCCACTCGACCGATCTCACTATCGATATCACTATCGATCTCACTATCGATATCACGATCGATCTCACTATTGATCTCACTAACGATCTCTCATTATAGATATCACTATCGATCTCACTAGCGATTTCACTGTCGATCTCACCACGTGACAACGACGGGACACCGACGGGACACCAGCGGGACACCAGCGGGACACCGGCGGGACACCGGCGGGACACCGGTTGCCGGGCGGAGAACCTTTTGGTTTGGCCGCGGCCCAGCCACGACGGGACACCGGCGGCGCGCCACCGGTTGCTGGGCGGAGAACCTTTTGGCCCAGCCGCGGCCCAGCCACAGAATTTCCTCTCATCCGCCCACGCAGCTTCGCCTCGCCCGCACGCACGGCACGCACGAACCCAAAACCGAAACCGATTTCCCGGTGGGGGGCTCTCCGTTCCATTTCGATCTCACCATCTCACCTCCGAAAAGTAGCAATAACAACAGCAGCAGCAACAACGACAACAACTATAACAGCAGCAACAACAACAATAACAACAATCACAGCAGCAGCAACAACGACGATGACGACAACAACAACAGCAGCAACAGCGACAGCAGCAGCGAGAGCACCAGCAACAACAACAACAGCAGCAACAACAGCCAAAAACTCAGACGTCTGGGGTCTACGAAGATTTCCGCATGCTGTCGTTTCAGCCCCGCCGCCGGGCGTCTTCCCTGATACGTGGCCGCCTCCAGCGCCGGGAAAACGGGTGGCATGCAGGTGATTCGGTGAACCCCCTTTTGCTTTGCCGCCCTATCGCTCGACCCGAACATCGTGGTGCACAGCACGACGAAGTTTCTCTCGGGGCAGGGCAGTGCCCTCGGCGGCGTCGTCGTCGACTCGGGGAAGTTTGACTGGATGGCGCAGGAGCTTGAGACAAAAACGTGGGGATGCTGGAGAAGGGTGTATGAGGGGCGTTGACCCCATGGGCGCAACGAGTTGGAGGCATACGCTCGATGGCGCACGTGCATTGCGCAAGGGCGAATAGGGTAATGGGGGGCTATACTAGGTAGCTTTCTATTAACAGTTGAACTTCAGGCAGGGGGCACAGGGTAATGCACTATAAGACAAGGAAACGCTGGGTAAATCATGGTACAGCGAGGCAAGAGACGGCAGGGCAAGGCAAGGTAATGCAAAGCGAGGTAAGACAAGGGTTTGGGTTTCCCCCGCTGTTGTGTTCCCCCCTCCCCCCCGGCCTTCTCCTCCCCAAGGTTGATTTTTCCCCACTTCAGGTCGCCCCCCTCCCACCGAGGCTTTCCTTGTTTCCCAAGCGTTTTTTTTTGTGTGTCCCCATCAGGGGGAGGTTTGCCCATATCGCTCGCGAAGGCTTGTCGACACGCAAATGTCGCTGATGCTTCGTCACGCTTGCCGTGCTCCGAATGGGTTTGTTAGCAGACATCGTTGGCACTACGACACGAGACGAAAAACGAGCCAGCACGCTCGCAGCGACCTCCCTTGCAACAACCTCTGGCACGCCGGACGAGAGCCAGCGCGATCTAGCGCCTTCTTGGCGCCCCCCCCCGTCGTCACTCCTCCCGGTTCGTCCTGATCCCCCTACCCACCCTCCTCCTCCTCCTCCTCCTCCTCCTCCTCCTCCTCCTCCTCCTCCTCCTCCTTCTCCTCCCACCCTCCTCCTCCTCCTCCTCCTCCTCCTCCTCCTCCTCCTCCTCCTCCTCCTCCTCTTCCTCCTCTTCCTCCTCATCATCATCATTATCATCATCATCATCGTCCTCCTCCTCCTCCTCCTCCTCCTCCTGTAGCACTGTAGCACTATGAAGCGTGTCCGTGCGAGCACAGAAAACACGCGCCTGAATGATAGCTGCGGGCCAGCCCCAAAAAGAGGGACCCCCTGACCCTTGCTAGATAGCCCTCTTCCTCCTCTGGGGGGGGCCGGGCAACGCAGCAACGGTCAGTTAAAGTTGCACTTGTGCCAGGCCTCAGGCGCACCGTTTCCTTGACATTTGCCACGTCCTTGGCGCACCGATTCCGTGGCCTAGTCATCGTCTCGCCCCTCCGCTCAACCCGCCTCCCCCCGCCATTCCCACCCCTACAAGCAGAGCCTAGGCTGTGGCCTCGCCTAGCGTCTCATCTGCTAGCTGTGACAAGAAGGATGAGGAGGAGGAAGAGGAAGATGTCAAGAGACCCTCAACAGCAGGGTCCTGCGCAAGCACCTACGCCACGCACCACAACACACACCCTGATACTCGAAACGGCCTTACAGTTTCGCTGTTCAGGGCGTGCCACTGTGGCGATCAGACGGGCGCAATCGCCCTACGAGATGCTCGCATAGCTCATTGACCGAGCCTCCTTTTTCAGCCATGGTGATGAGCTCGCTCTCGATCTCGTCGTACAGCGGGTCGCCGTCGGTCTCGAAGGTGATGCCCGCCTTCTGGAGCATGCCTGCAAGGAGTGCATAGCAGTGCCTACCTTTCGAACCACCTTTGGGGCTTGGGAGGCGCTTCGACTTGGGACCACCTCTCCGCCCCTTTGACCCTTTGCCATCTGCATGCGTGGCCCTTTGCGAATCAGCCCTGTCTGTTGCAAGGGAGTCGGTTTGGGCTACATCTATCATGGTGACGCCCGCGACTTGCTGCATTTCCTCTCCTGCGGAGGCCTGCGAGTGCAAGTCCGTGTTGAAATCAGTAGCATTATTGCCTGCGATGAGGATGTCGCCCGTGGTGGTCATCTCGCCGATGTTCATGGCGACCCGTGGTTGGACAGCTCCTGAGGAGGGCAGCTACTGCAAGTCTGTGAACGAGTCGATATTTGTCTTGCCAAAGGCCTCAGTGTCCATGGCCTCGCTCGTGAGAGTCGTGTTGGCGATGGGTTTGATGACCTGAGCCCCTGAGGCGAGATTGCTCAGGTCGCTCTGCGCAGGCACGCTGAGGACGTCTGCCCGGAGCTGGAGGAGCATGCCTTTGAGGTCGGCCGGTTTCAACTCCAGGTTCAAGCCGTGCTCGAAGGCCTGGGCCTTGCCGTCACCTTCGTCACTAGACGTGTCCCCGATGAAGAATTCTTTGACGTTGTTGTGGAAGGTCGTTTCGGGTGTCTCCCCATGGGCCCGGCCTTCACGCTGCGCGCTCTGCGGGTGTCGTAAAGCCTCCTGGAGCGCCGCAGCCCCCATCGCCCCTGAGATGGTGGGCGCCCACAGTGCGTGTCGCCCTCTCCTTGCCAGAAGAGCGACGCCCCTTCATCTGGCTGATGAACCATGGTTTGATGGCGTCGATGCGCACCCTCACCTCATCATCGACCTCGCTGGGCTCCGTGCTACCCTCGCTCTTGTCCAGCCTCCCGTCGATGACGGTGCGCGTCGCTGCAGCAACTGCCGAAGCGACAACCTTCCGTGAGCCCCCTCCAGCCGATGCGCCATGGGCCGCGCTTGCAACCACTTCCGCCGCAAGAGAAAGAGAAATGTGCATTGCCATCGCCGTGGGAGTGCTGCGGGAGAACCGAGCCACACAAGCGTCCAATATGAAGACAGAATTGTCAGTATCGAAAACGGTTTGAGCCAAAATGGATACGGACCCTCCTCCTCCTCCTCCTCCTCCTCCTCCTCCTCCTCCTCCTCCTCCTCCTCCTCCTCCTCCCTCTCCTCTCCTCTCTCCTCTCCTCCTCCTCCTCTCATCCTCATCCTCCTCCCCTCCTCCTCCTCCTCCTCCTCCTCCTCTCCTCCTCTCCTCCCTCCTCCTCCTCCCTCCCTCCTCCTCCTCCTCCTCCTCCTCCTCCTCCTTCTCCTCCTCCTCCTTCTCCCCCTTCTCCTCCTCATTCTCCTCCTCATTCTCCTCCTCCTCCCTCCTCCTCATTCTCCTCCTCATTCTCCTCCTCCTCCCTCCTCCCTCCTCCCCCTCCTCATCCTCCTCCTCCTCCGCAGGGGGTGGGGGAAGCTTCGGGGGGGTGCGGGGTGGTCGGGGGGGGAAAGCCCCCAGGGGGAGGAAGCAAAACACCCAGGGGGGAGAGGGGGTGAAAGCCTTCCTTGGTAAGGGGCTCAGTGAGGTTTGGTGAGGGAGGTCCAAATGCAACGCTTCGAAGCAAGACAAAGACGGCATGGTGGCGTGAGCAACGTAAAACTCTGAGTAAGACGAAGGCAGGTGCTGCGATTTAGGCAAGGTCGGAGCAAGGTCGAACAGGTGCTTAGGTGAGGCTAGGTACGGGAAGGCGGAGAGAGATAGCGGACCCTGTCAAGGTTGGGCTGGACGTAATATTGATTACCAAAGGTTCTTCGAGCTGCAGCGCGGGCGAATCCCAGACAGCCGGGTTGCACATCGGCCACGTTGGTTGGGGGTGGGAGTTTGGCGTCCGTAGCACCAGCTGCGGCTATACGATTGGAAACGTTCGAGGCGAGTTCGCCAGAGGGTTCTTCTAAGTTGAACCAATGATTTTTTATTCGACGACATGCAGTGTGTGTGTGTGGTGGTGCTGTGTAGTGTGTGGTGTGTGTGGTGTGTGTGTGGGTGAGTGTGTGTGTGTGTGCGTGCGTGTTTGCGTTCAGGGGACTATTTGAATTACCCGTAGTTGCCTTACCACGGGAGGAAACGGTGCGTTCTGGAGATGTGTTGTGTTGAATGCCCCCGCGCACGCAGGCGGAAAAGTTCCCCTCCCTGGCAAAGCCGGAGCCCGGTTACCACGGTCTCGTCTTCGCGGAGACTTTCGGGGACATGGCGTTCACGATGTTCTCCCACGCGGTCGGCTTGCGGGACTTGGGGGCCACCATGGCCCCGCTGCACGCCTTCCTCACGCTGAACGGCTGCGAGACGCTGGCCGTGCGGATGGAGCGGCACTGCGCCAACGCGGCGGTGCTGGCGCAGTTTCTGGAGAGGCACCCGAAGGTGGCCTGGGTCTCCTTCGCCGGGCTCGCCTCCTCCCCGTACCGGACCCTCGCGGAGCGGTACATGCACCGCTCTTGGGGCGGAGGCGTCTTCACTTTCGGAGTGGTGGGCGGCTTCGACGCCGGCGTCCGCGTGGTCGAGGCCGTCGAGCTCTTCAGCCACCTCGCCAACGTGGGGGACTCCAGGTCCCTCATCCTCCACCCTGCGTCCACGACGCACCGCCAGCGGCATGCTGAAGCCCGGCGCCCCGCGCTCGGAGAGTCGACGCTCGGTGCCCGAGCCGTGCTCTAGGCCCAGGCGTGGCAGATTTGCCGAGCCCGGTTTTAAGTGCAGCGCCTGGGCTTCAGCGCGGCTTGGGCACCGGAGACGGGTTGTTCGGCCATGGGCGCTGGAGTTCAGCCTGCCGGCCAGCTGACCGACGAGCAGCGGCATGCAGCCGGGGCCGGCGACGACGTGATTCGGCTCTCCATCGGCCTCGAGACGCCCGAGGACCTCATCGCCGACCTCAGCTTCGCACTCGACCAGGTTTGACACAGTCCTGCCAGCTCTGGGCTTCCGTTTTGATCGGCTGCTCCATGCGGACCGTGGGCTCGCCGCGGCCGGACGGCTTGCCCATCGCCCGGAGCCAGTTGAGCGGGTTTCCCAAAACAGTCTGCCATCTTATTACGAAGGAGGGCCCCCCAGGGGGGGAGGGCACAAGGGGGGGCGACTGTGCTGGAGAGGAGAGGGAGGCGTTTGCAGGCTTAGGCTACAGACCGAACTGGGAGTTGGGATGCCCCCCTTCTGGCCTGAGGGCCAAACGAGGCTGGGCGCAAGGCGACCCGGACGATCGCATGCCGTGTTGTTTATATAAGTATGTATATCTATCTATATATATATATATGTACACAAACCCATAGTGCAAAAGTGGCATGGCCACTCTGCGGAGCGCTCGCCCCCGTCTCGTGAACAGGGCGCCCTGGTGAACGGGGCGCCCTTCCGCCCACGCCGAATCAGTCCACAGAGGAGGGGGAGCCCAGGAGATGGCAGAGGCGTCGGTGGTGTCGACGACGACGAACAGCAGCAGGATGAGGAGGAGGCTGAGCTCGAGGGGAAATGCCCCCTCAGACAGAGCAGGGGCACCTGAGCCTTGTGCACCGTGCGATGGTCATGGAAGGATTGACTGCATCTGCCTGGCGCAGGCCTGAAGCTTGCGAGGGATCTTGGTGCCACGGTGTCCTCGTCTTTCCTCCGAATCCTCGTCTGTCTCATTCGTCTTCTCCTCTTCCTGGTCACCATCATCGTCATCAGCACCAGCACCAGCATCATCATCATCATCATCATCACCACCACCATCCTCATCATCATCAGTATCATCAGCATCAGCATCAGCATCATCATAATCATCATCATCATCATCATCATCATCATCATCATCATCATCATCGTCATCGTCATCGTCATCGTCATCGTCATCGTCATCACAATCATCATCACCACCACCATCACCACCACCATCACCACCATCATCATCATCATCATCAGTATCATCAGCATCATCATCATCGTCCTCGTCATCACCATCATCATCATCATCATCATCATCATCATCATCATCATCATCATCATCATCATCATCGTCCTCATCATCATCCTTCGTTGGTCGTGCCCATGGTGCATTGCGATCGCCCGGAAGGCAGGGCGGTCGCCCTTCTTTAGAGGATGACCAAACCGAGCCTCGATTCCTCATGTTCCTCCTCATCATCGTCGTCTTCGTCATCCTCATCCGCATCCTCATCCTCATCATCCTCGTAATCATCATCGGTACCATCATCATCATCAGCAGCAGCATCAACATCGTCATCCTCATTATCATCAACAACAGCATCATCATCACCATCATCATCGTCGTCATAATCATGCTCATCATCAGCATCAGCATCATCATCAGCATCATCAGCAGCAGCATCAGCATCATCATCATGATCATCATCATCATCATCACCACCACCATCATCATCATCATCATCATCATCAGCATCATCATCATAATCATCATAGTCATCATAATCATCATCACCCCTTTCCTCCCCGCTCACCTCGTCCTCCTCCTCCTCCTCTGTCTCCTCCTCCTTCTCCTCCTCCATTCTTTGTCCTTATAAACAATTTATCCCTGTCGCACCCCGAGGCCAGTTTTGAGGACGGGCCAGGCGTTTCGCCTGAGACTTCCTCATAATGTAAAACCCTGAAGCTTCAAAAAGTAGCAAACAAAAATCACAGATGGATGGCGGGTCTTTTTCAATATGTGGTTCTCGCCTTAGCGCCACGCACACTCGTCTTCAAAATGCACGAGCTTCATGGATTGAGGGCGACACGTCTTCAAAATGTGGTTCTCGCTCTAGCGCCGCGTACATTCGCTTTAAAATTTTGCAAGAGTTTCACGGATTGAGGGCGGTTCCTTTTCAAAATGTGGTTCTCGCTTTAGCGCTGCGCACATTCGTTCTTTACTTTCAAGAGTTTCGTGGGTTCCTCTGATCAGCTTACCAGAGATGTTGTTTTGGAAAGGTTCAGGATTAAGAGCGTGCAGCAGTTCCGTTGATTCGCAGCGTTGAAGTCCCAGGAATGGCGTTCTGGTACGGTTAAGAATCGTCAAGACGCAACAGTCAGGTTGATCCGTGGCGTTGGAATCCCGAGAACAATGTTTTGGCATGCCTCAGGGTCTTCAAACGGCTGTCATCCAACGAGGCAGTTCCCTCTGTGGGGGTGAACCGCTGTAGGGGCCTATGAAGAGGGAGTTGGAGGGAGGGCTTCTTCCAACATGGCTCTTGGGTTTACACTGGTCCTCCTCCTCCTCCTCCTCCTCCTCCTCCTCCTCTGCGCCTCCTTCCCCCCCGGCTCCGAGAAGCCGCCCGGAGCGGAGCTAGGGGGCGCGCGAGCGGCGCCCGCGCCCGCGCCCAGAGGCCAAGCTGGCCATCGCGGCGCTGCGAGAGTGCGGGTCGGAGGCCCAGGAGTTGGCGTGCCGCCCTCTTGCCTCCAGGCCTCCGTCGAGTCGAGACAACGACCCCGAGGAGGAGGAGGAGGAGGAGGAGGAGGAGGAGGAGGAGGAGGAGGAGGGGGAGGAGGGGGAGGAGGGGGAGGAGAGGAGGAGGAGGAGGAGGAGAGGATGAGGATGAGGATGAGGATGAGGATGAGATGAGGATGAGGACGAGGATGAGGATGGGATGAGGATGAGGATGAGGATGAGGTGAGGATGAGGAGGAGGAGGAGAGGAGGAGAAGAGGAGGAGAGGTGGAGGTGGAGGTGGAGAGGAGGAGGAGGAGATGAGATGAATTGATGATGATGATGATGATGATGATGATGATGATGATGATGATGATGGTGATGATGATGATGATGATGATGATGATGATGATGATGATGATGATGATGATGATGATGATGATGATGATGATGATGATGATGATGATGATGGTGAGATTGGTGAGGAGGAGAAGGAGGAGGAGGAGGAGGAGGGGGGGAAGTTCTAGGCCTCTTGCCCGCAGGCCTCCCAAGTGCTGGGCCTCCCAGATGTCGGGTGCTGCTACAATTAGGTCGGGCATGCCACACCACAAGAAGACTACCCAATAATCATAGAAAAATAGTCGGGGGGGGCGTTGTTTCGACTATGTTTGACCATGTTTGAATATTGTTTGATTAGTTTTAAACTTGTCTTCCAATATCCGCATGTAGGAGGACATGCGACCGAATCCAGACCTCCCAAGTTCTAGGCCTCCCAGATGTTGGCCGCTTCTAGAATTAGGTCGGGCATGCCCCTCTACAGGAAGACTGTCCAAGAATAGTAAAAAAATAGTCTGGGGACGATGTTTCGACTAGGCTTGGCCATTGCTGAATATTGCTTGATTGGTTTTTAAGTGTTCGTCCGGAATCCGCATTAGGAGGGCATGCCCGACATAATGCAGGCTTCCCAAGTTCTAGGCCGCCCAGATGTCGGGTGTTGCTAGAATTAGGTCGGGCATGCCCTTCTACAGGAGGAATATCCAAGAATAGTAAAAAACAGCCTGGGGGCGATCGTTCGACTATGTTTGACAATGTTTGAGTAGTTCTGACTATGTTCCAATTGTTCGTCAAAAATCTGCATATAGGAAGACATGCCCGACCTAATCCAGGCCTCCCAAGTTCTGGGCTTCCCAGAGGTCGGGTGCTGCTACAATTAAGTCGGGCATGTCCCTCTATAGGAGGAATACCCAAGAATAGCAAAAAAAAATGTTTGGGGACGATTTGTTCGACTGTGCTTGACCATGTTTGAGTAGCGTTTGACTATCTTCATTGTGTGTTCCAAAATCCGCCTGCAGGAAGACATGCTCGACCTCATGCTAGAAGTGCCCCTGGCCCAAAGTGCCCCTCCCCCTAGATTGCCAGGGAGGCCCCCACATGGCCTCCAGGAGCACCCCATCACAAGGCGAAGAGGGCCCCCAGGGGTTCCAACACATTCAGCGAAAAAGTTGGGGGCACTTTGGGCAAAGGGCACCTCTGGCAACCCCGAAGATGTGGCCCTCCCAAGTCCTAGGCCGTTCCCGTCGGGGTTCGTGTCCGCCTAGAGGCAGCAGGCTGGTGGCGTTGGAGGAGCCTTGGCCCACTGGGGATAGGGACAGGTCTGACGATGCTGACCTAGGCGGGCGTCTGGGAAGGCCACCCAGCCGACTCTAGGCCTCCCAGATGCGGTCGGAGTGAATGGGGTCGGAGGATCGCGCCGCATCGCCGATGCATCGCCGATGCGGCTGGATGTGGAGCCCGACTCTCTCCACGCTGACGTTGCCGATGTATCGCCGACGTCGCCGATGCATCGCCGATGCATCGGCGATGCTGCGCGATCCTCAGACCCTATTTACTCGGACCCCATCCAGGAGACCTCTGCAAGTGGGGCCAGAGTACTTACACTGCTACCCTTGCCTCGTTGTCGCCGTTGGGGGATCTCTTGGGAAGCCCTCGTCACCACCTCTGGATTCGTACCGACATTCTGGTCAGAACCCATCCCGGGAGAGGTCTGGGAAGTAGCGGTATCAGCATCTCTTGGTTTCCCCAGGACCTTGAAGTTCTAGGCCTCCTAATCGGGGTTCGGGCGGATGTGGTCGGAGGATCGTGCCGCATCGCCAATGCATCGCCGATGCGGCCCGAGATGGAGCTCGATCTTCTCAACGCCAACGTCGCCGTTGCCTCGGGGAGGCATCGGCGATGCGGCGCGATCCCCCGACCCCATCTACTCAGACCCCATATGGGATGCCTCTGTTGCCATCATCGATAGAGCGATCCCCGTTCCCATCGGGTAAACCTTTTCCCCGCTGGCCGACCTGTCTCCCCAGGTGGGGAGCAGAGTCCGCTTACGTCGGGGTCCGCGGCGCTTGCACCACCCAGAGGCAGCAGGCTGCTTTCAAATGCAGCCGTTTTGTCGGTGCCTCCCCGATCGGATTCACAGGTATCTCCTACAGCCGAGTGGTGTGGCGGCATCCTCGCTCCAAGGCTCGCAGTTGAGGCCTGGTGTCCGTTCCCATCTTCTCAGTATTTATATATATATATATATATATATATAACAAAACAAACAAACAAACAAACAAACAAACAAACAAACAAACAAACAAACAAACAAACAAACAAACAAACAAACACAACAACAACAAAAAAAAAAAAGGCTGGCGGCGTCGAGGAGCCCTGGCACCCGACGCCGAGGCCGCCCGGTCGCTGCGCCCTCATCGGGCCGCGAGCGCCGTCGCCCGCGGAGCGCAGCGGGGAGCGCCCGCGCAGCGCCCGCACAAGGGCCCGCGCAGCGGCCGCACAGCGCCTGCGCCACGCCCGGCGGCGGCGCTGCCCGCCCGATGGCGGGCGCCTGTTTGTCAGGAGGGGAAAGAACACACAGACACAACTGATCGTCGGTTCCCCAGAAAATGTGGGAAACTACGGAAAATGGGGGGGGGGAAGACAGAGGCCCAGAAGATAGGGGAAAATATGGAAAGTGGGGGGGAAGACAGAAGCCCAGAAAGTATGGGAAAACATATGGAAAGTGGGGGGGGGAGACAGAAGCCCAGAAGATATGGGAAAAGATTGGGAATCTGTTTATTTGTGTGTATTTGTGTGTGTCCTGGGGCCCCTTCAGTTTGGGGTCGGGTCTCAAGCGAAAAGGAGGAGCGCCTGCGCGTTTCGCCCCCCCCACCTCGGTGGCAAAGCACGGGAGCTTCGTACGCCCTCTCAATTCCGTCTTTACCGTCGATTAGCGTCTGGGAGTCGTGAGAACGCGCCGACTTAGCGTCGGTTAGCGTCGATTAGCGTCGATCTAGCGTCGATTCGCAAGAGCTGACAAGATGGTATATGGGAGGCTCCCATGAGTTGCCACCGAACCCTACAGTCGGTCCTGATTCGTAGGTCGGCCCTGCCAAATCAAGGGCACCCTTGTGTCCTGTGTCTCGCGACCCATGCCTCCTACATTCCTACGGCAATGTGGCCCTCGGAAGGGTCTTGTGTCCTCTCGTGTGCCCTGTCCAATCAAGTCCGACTGTAGGGCCTGTGGGCTCGTCGGGCCAGACTGCCTGCGGTGCGGCATCGAGCGAGCATCGTCGACGACGGGACCGGAGGCGGAGCGGAGAGATGCGGTACACGGTGGGAGCTTCAAAAGACCCGAGCCTACCAGCCTTGCCGGCCCATCCAGGCCAGCTGCACACGTGAAGCAGCCAGGAACAGATCTCCTCTGCACTTCCCATCGCCAGTCTCAGTTAGCAGCGTTGACCTTGGGCAGGCGAGCGGCGCGGATCGGCCCTTGCGCAGAGGGGGGCAGGGGGGGAGGGCTGGCTCTCAGAAGGAGGCTGCCTCTTGGGAGGCGCGGGCCCCACAGCTGCAGACGTGGCCCACGCCTTCCAAAAGGCGGCCTCCCTTCTGAGGAGCCCTCCCCCCCCTTACCCTTCCTACCCCCTACCCCCCCCCCCCCCCCCCCCCCTACCCCCACCCCCTACCCCCCCCCCTACGCCCCTACCCCCCCCCCCCTACCCCCCCCCCCCCTAACCCCCCTGCGCGCACCGCCAATCGGCGACGCCGACTCTGGCGGGCGACGGGCAGGCCACCCGCGCGGCGCGGGCAAGAGCGGGGACGGCCGCGCCGACGCCCGCGAGCGGGTCGCCCGCGCGGCACGGCGTCGCGCGCGGGCGCGCCGCCTCCTTCCGCTCCGCGCCGCCGCGGCCGGCGGCCCGCGTGGGCCGCCGTGCTTCCTGCGTCGCGCACTTGGCCTCTCCTCCACCTCCTCCTCCACCTCCTCCTCCATCCTCCTCCTCCTCCTCCCTCCTCCTCCTCCTCCCTCCTCCTCCTCCTCCTCCTCCTCCTCCTCCTCCTCTCCTCCTCCTCCTCCTCCTCCTCCCTCCTCCTCCTCCTCCTCCTCCTCCTCTTCCTCCACCTCCTGCTCCTCCACCTCCTGCTTATCATCTCATCATCATCATCATCATCATCATCATCAGCAATCATCAATTATCATCATCATCATCATCATTATTATTAATTAGTTTACTATTACGATTATCATCATCATCATCATCATCATCATCATCATCATCATCATCATCATCATCATCATCATCATCATCATCATCATCATCATCATCCTCATCCTCATCATCATCCATCATCCTCATCATCCTCATCATCCTCATCATCCTCATCATCCTCATCATCCTCATCCTCATCCTCATCCTCCTCCTCCTCCTCCTCCTCCTCCTCCCCCTCCTCCTCCTCCTCCTCCTTCTAGTGCATTGCCTCGCCGCGGCCGTCGTGCTTCGGTGCCGTCGGGAAGAAAGGAGCAGGACGAGGACGAGGACGAGGACGAGGACGTCGACATCATCGCGGCCGCTCTCCCCTCGCCAGGAAGGGGCGCGACGCGGCGCCGGGCAGACACACGCCCTTTGCGATTGGGGATTTGGGCTCCTGGTGGGCTCGCGTCGCGATTCAGATCAGCGCTTACGCCTTCGGGGCATTCAAGCCCGCTTGCGCTTGATCGTCGCCGACGCCCCCTCATTTCGACTCCGCCTCCCCCTCCTCGTCGTCACTGACCCCGATGCCCAAAGGCCAGCCCCGAGCTTCACGGGGTGCCGCTCGGGGCTGGCGGCGCCGCAGAGCAGAAGCTGCCCCAGCGATGTTCCACCGGGGTCGCCGCACGGGGCCGGAACCCCTGAGCGCTGCACGCCTGCCTCCTCCCCCGTGGTGCTCCGCTCCCCTCGCCCCGCGGCCGCTCCTCGCCGCCCCGTCCCCTCCAGGCGCTCCTCTGGCCGCCCTCCTCCTTCAAGCCTGGCCCTCCTCGGGGGCAGCCTCTCTGAGGGGAGGATGGGCTCCCGGGGTTGACGCATCGACCCCCCTCGCCCAGCCATCGCCCGCGGGGGCCTGCCAGCCCGCCTCGCCCGGGAGCGTGCGGACATGCTATCGGGGGCCTGTCGCCGATCCATCGGCGATGCCTCGCCGATCCCAGCTCGATGCTTCCCCGCCGCGAGCTGGTCCCACCCCTGCCCTCCAAGCTCGCCCCGCGCCCGCCCCGCAGAAGCCGGCCGCCCGCAGGAGCACGGCACTGGCCGCGGGCGCGGCCACCCGAACGGATTGACGCCCTCGAGCACCGCTCTCGACGGGCGGGGGGGCGGGGCGTGCGGCGAACGTTTGCTTGGCGTGCTGCGCCGCCGGTTCTGGCCGACCACGCTGCGGCGCGACACGCTAGCCGCGTCCTGGTCACCAGGCGTCAGCGTCCCGACCGGCCTCCCGCGGAGCGGAGCGGCAAGGCAAGGCATGGCGTGTCGCAGGGGCCGCCGTTGCGAGACGCTGGGCAGATGTTCCCGGCCGTATCACACCGATCTATGCGGTGCCCTGAAGGCGGGCCAGTGCATTTGATGTCACACCCGCTGCGCTGCCGCGAGTAGCCAGCACCGCGGCTTCGTATGCAAGCGTCAGGGCGGCGGAGTGATCCCCTGTGAACCTTCATACGCATCGCAAATCAGTCGTATGAGTGCACCTGCAAGTTCAGGGCGTCATGCATACATCCACGTACATAGATGGACAGACCGGCATGTGTTGTGCTCTGATGTTCCCCGAAGAGTGCTTTGCACTGAGGGCTTCTTCTTCGCTTCCGAAGGAACTGGGCCTGCGTGCCGGTCTGGCAGCTCTGTGCTGTCGCCGCACCGTCGCCTCGTCGCCGCGCCTGCGTGCCGGTCTGGTGGCTCCACGCTCGCCGTCGCCGTTCCATCGCCGCTTCGTCGCCGCCTGTCGTCTGGGCCTGCGTGCTGGTCTGGCGGCTCCGTGCTCGCCGTCGACGCCTCGTCGCCGCCCTGCATAGATTGCACGATACATATATATATTATGTGTACATATATATATATATATATATACATTCATATGTGTACACGTGAATGTATCGATATACATACATGCATACATACATCATACATACACATACACATACACATACACATACGTATACGTCTACATATGCATATACATACACAAACACATACACTCTCAGGTACACATACACAAACACCTACAGGCAGACATACATAGATACTGCGCAACGTAGACTGCGCCGCATTGATTGCGCACCACATGCGTTACACAGCATAGATCGCACAACGCATATTGCGCAACATCGATTCTCCTTTCTAAATAGAGAATAGACTCTACCCCCCCCCCCGGAGTTATCGCCCCCCCTTTCGGGTATGTAAATCACATATGATTATGACCACATGTCCATCCTAAATATGAAATCATAATGTCCCAGGCCAACCGGTATCCCCCCCCTGAGGTTCCCTTGTAAAAAAACACTGTGCGGTGACATTCTTTGTTCTAACATAACACTTTTTCACGAATCCCTTGCAAAAAATGGGACGAAGTGCACACGCGCGCGTCGTCGCGCGCGCATGCCGAAATCCCTCAAAAACCTTCGTTGCTGGAAGGATTTCGCAATCGAGTTTCCAAAAAACATACAAAAACGCAGGGTTTCGTAACACTGATTTGCTAAGTGGGCCTCTCCTGGGGCCCTCAGGGGCCCCCTTGGAGTTGGAGGCCTCGGAAGGCCGTCGGAAGCGACAAGGCGAGAAGGCAACAATCATTGATTTCTCTTCGGTGTTTGAAGGATGTTGGCATCTTGGCGGCCTCCTGGGAAGGCTCCGTGGCCACTCGGAGCCGTATTGGAGCGGTCTTGGGACCTTTTGGAGCATCTTGGGGGCCATAGTGAGGCATCTTGGGCTATATTGTGCCATCTTGGAGATCATATTTAGCTCTCTGCGACCCCCCTAGAGCCATCTTTGGCCATCTTAGATGCTCTGACCGCTCGCGAAACCACCCCTCCAGGTCCATGGGAGGGGATAGGGGGAGGGGTCAATACACCCCCTGGATAGCAAGCAGTCTAGCTCACTCCCACCCGCCCTCCCAACACATCAGTAGCACCCGAGCCTCAGCATGTTCAGCGGTCGTTTTTGGATGGACAGCTACTGGGAACCAAAACCGACCCCATGTGCGCGACGCTGTAACGAGGTGCGCCACGCGTGCCAGGCGCGCCACGCGCGCCAGGCACCCCTGGGGCCCGAGCGTGCCAGGCACGCCTGATGCGCCAGATGCGCCACGTGCTCCGCGTGCACCAGGTGCGCCGCATGCTCCATCCGCGCCAGGTGCGCTACGTTCGAGGCACGTGCAGCGTGTGTCAGGTGCGCCTGCGCACGGGACAGCACACATCGGGAAACATGTCGGCCCCCACCATCCTTGTCGAAAGGCAATGCCCATCATTGTGTTCGGTAGGCTTGCGCACAGCAGGCCATACGCCACCACCCCCGCCGTCCCTGTAACCACGTGACAGTGATCGCGGGGTGGCCGCGCATGATCCAGATTTTTCCGCGCTGTGCATTTTGTATTGTGCTTGTGTTAAGGATGGTAGCCCTGCGCGTAGCAGGCAGTGTGCTGACACCCCCACCGTCCCTATCATAAGCAATACAGAGTACTCGCGGGCCTCACGTACATGACTCAAGACGTTGCCCAAAAGTGTATGTTGCATTGTTTTTGAAAGGGATGGTGGGGGGGGGCCGCATCGGGTTGGCCGCGCAAGCTCCAAATGTGGAGGCGGAGTGCGTGTTGTATTGTTCTTTGACAGGGATGTGGGGGGGGGGGCGCATGGTTCCTGGTTGGCTGCCGGTCGCCTGGGTGAGGGGGTGTATATCAATAAGTAACAGTGATAAACCCCTCCCCGAAGGGGAAGAGGGAGGGGTTGGAAGAGAAACCGCCCTAGACCACCTACGCCCAGAGGGTTGGTGGGATTCAGCATTGGTTGCATCAGAACGTCAGCTGCCAAAGTGGCAGGGACGGCATACTGAAGCGGAAGAGCGGGAGGGTTGGAGAGGGTGGGTCGCATGCGAGTTGCGGGAGGTTGCTACCTACACTGTCATGAGGAGGCCCATGCAACATTTGATAGCTATGGTTCTGAGGCCGCCCCGCTGTTCATTGGAGAGCGATCGAGGCGTGGGCGCAGTACCACTGGAGGCAGCCCTCGTCGAGCTCCGCCTGCTGAAAAGGGGCCCTTCCGTACCAGGAGCTTCTGAGGCGGATGCGCAAAAGCGAGAGGACCCCTATCCGTTTACACGCATGGACCGGCTGCGCGCGAGCACTCCCGCGGGATGGGAGTGTGTAGAGTTGCTACACAGTCAGCCCGCACAGGAAGGACGAGCGATTCTCCAAGGTTGCCCTTGCATCCTTCCCCCTCGGACCATCCTTGGCAGTTTTCGCTGGCCGCGCCCCGCTCACAAAGTGTCGACATGGCCTTCCAAGGCCCTTGCATCCTTGCAGTAAGGATGAGCGACTTTCCAAGGTTACCCTTGCATCCTTCCCCTTCGGCCCATCCTTGGCCGCCTTCGCTGGCCGCGCCCCGCTCGCAAAGTGTCGGCATGGCCCTCCAAGACCCTTGCATCCTTATCGCGCGTCCTTGTCCCGTCCCCCGCGTCCCCCACTCCCGTCGCCCCCCCCTTGGACTCTCCCCTCTTTGCTGCCCCCCTCCCTCTGGACTCTCCCCCCGTCGCCCCCCCCTTTGCTGCTCTCCTCCCTCTGGACTCTCCCCCCTTGGCTGCCTCCGCCTCCCTTCTCGGCCCTCCCTCCGCTCTCCTCCCTTCGCTTCCTCCACCTCCACCTCCTCCCTTGGCTCTCGCCACCTCCTCTCGCTTCCTCCACCTCCTCCACCTCCTTCCTCCACCTCCTCCTCCACCTCCTTCCCCCTTCGCTTCCTCCACCTCCTCTCGCTTCCTCCACCTCCTCCTCCTCCCTTGGCTCCCTCCGCCTCCTCTCGCCCACCTCCCTCCGCGCTCCCCCGCCGCCCCCCGCTTCGGGAGGCTGCTGCGCTCGCCGACCGCGCCCCGGACCACCGGCGGCCATCCCCTTGCAGCGGACGCCGCCAGCGGCCCCAAGGGGGGGGGGCGGGGGGCGGCTGCTAGAGGGTGTGCACCCGCATGGGCGACGCCAAAAAACCGGTTCGACTGCGCCGACATCGGCGCGCAAGTTGTTCGCGTAAGGTCGCGCCCAAGCGCCTTCGCTTCCCGCGTAGCGTACCGCGCTGGCGGCCCGCCCAAGCCACATCGTAAGGTCTTTATGTCATCTCGCGCAAGGCCCGTTTTTATCGTCGCTCACCTGTGTTCCGTCTCTAGGGAGCGTTCTGCAACAGAATGGCTATTGAGTGATACCGCATGCCCGTGGCGCTCCTCGAAGGCCTCTTGCATAAGTTGAAGCATGTGGGACATCTTATTAGGATCCTCGCAGCAGATGGGTGATTGTACGAGGCGATTGGGCCTCCTCACGATGTTCTTCCCAGAGTTGAGAAGGTGCTCAACGTTATCCAGCGGTTCTTTAGGGAGGCCGTCGGAGTTTGGGGGACTCCTCGGAGGCATGAGCGTGCGTTGGGGTCACCCTTGAAGCCTCCGAAGGGTTTTGAGAAGTTCCCATACCCAGGCGCTTGGTCCTTTCTGCTGCACCCCTAACGGGTCACAAGTGCCGTCCAGGAGGCCAATTCATTGGCATTGTTGGATTTGGTTCAGATTGCCGTGGAGGCATTCCGAGCCGACTTCGATTCGGTTATTGCACGGGTCGAGAGGAGCGTGGTCACCGCTCTTGTTGTAGCAAAGGTCGAGAAGCGTTGCGTTCTTGCTCCGAGGTCTGTTGCCAAGGTGCGTTCCCGCCGCATTGCCAAGATATCGTAGTAATCCAGAAATTCTCTCAAACTGTCATAGAAACTGTATACCCTAAGCTGCCTTGAAGCGATGGAACTGCAAGTCCTGACTGTTCAAAACCGCTCGGACATTCAAAAGTCATCCCCTGAGGCATGCCGACATGCTGGAGATAATCACAGTCCGCCCCAAACGCGCGCACACAATTGCCATAAGAACGATGGAAAAAAACACAAGACAGCTCGCCCAGTGGCCCCCGACCAACCCCACGCCAAGACGCGAGCATGTATACGGGCGCAGCGTCGCGCTTAATGTGTGGCTCTCGGTTGGACCAAATATGCGAAGACCCCAAATCCGCAAGCTCACGGTGCCTAGATTTCTGCGTCAAGCACAACATGGGGTCGAGACCTCTGGACTCAAGAGCACGCGGCCGTTGGCCGTAGCCACATGTTTTCGGCACCAGAAACAGTTCACGTTGACATGGAGCCAAGAAACCCTTGCCAATACAACATGTGTTTCCCCTGGCCTATAGATGTCAGCAACCTATATGTATCGCCCGGCCTAGATCTACCAGCAAGATATCTTGACCCTCTGGCCTAATTCTCAAAATTGCCAGAAGACGTTCACGCCCCCCTGGCTTAAAATATCCAGCAACATATCCTCACGCCAGCGGTTTAAAACTGGCAGCAAGATATCGTCACCCTCTAAGCTAAAATGGCTATCAACTGGCAAGGCCCAAAATTGCAAGCAAGATATCCTCCCCCCGCCAGCAAAAAAAACACCCCCTGGCTTAAAACTGCCAGCAATTGATTTAACGCCTACCAGCGCCAGCAAGGGATCCTTACCCCTGCAGTAAGATTGCCAGCCACATGTCATCGCACACTTGGCCTAAAACTGCCAGCAAAATACCTTCACCCTCCAGGAATTAAAGTGTCAGCATGATATCCTCACCCCCTGGAGCTCCCTCAGGGCTGCCGTTCGGGGCCCGCGGGCCAGGGACGGTTGATGGCCATCGCCGACGCGTGCGCCGACGAGGGCTTGGCCCCGCACTTCGCCAGAGCGGATGCCCACGTCGACCGCGCCCAGCTGGACGACCTGCGCGACCCCGGAACCGACCACGCCTGGATGTGGTCCTCGCAGGCTCTGGATGCAGACCGCGAGGAGTTCACCGAGGCGATGCGCACTCGTCTGGGCGCAAGCGGCCCCCCGAGCGCATACTGTGCGGTGTCTGCGGGGAGCACCTGAACGCCGCTGGAGCCCACCCACGCCTCCACGAGCTTCATCGATTCGCCGCTGGAGCCCACCCACGCCTCCACGAGCTGGAGCCAAGAATTTCGCGCGCTCACGCCCGTTGGACCGACCTGCAGACGTGCTTGCAGCTTGTCGTTCCGCCACCGCGCCCGCGCCGGGCGAGGACGCCGCCGAGGCGATGCGGCGGCGCAAAACTCCAGAGCGGGAGGACGCGCGCGGCGAGTTCGAGGAGCTCGGCATCATCACCCCGCTGGTGTGGACGAGCTGCGGGCGCCCGCACCCGCAGGCGGCTGCCGCCGCGCAGGCGACTGCGCGGGCCGCCGCGCGGCGCCGCGGAGGCACCGCCCGCGCCATGGAGCGGGGCGCTGCGGGAGCGGCTCGGCGCGGCGCTGCTCCAGCGGGGTGCACACAGGAGCCGTGGCCACCGTGGCCCAGCACGGCGAGGGCGCCAATGAGCCCGGAGCCGGCAAATCTGGCGCGGGCTCCCCAGCAGCCGACGTTGTGGCTGTCGACGCGCGGGCTCGGGCGCCCGCGGCGCCTGGGAGGCTCTGCGGGGCGGCGGGCAGCAGCCCTGGCGATCCTGGAAGGGGAGGCCACGGCGGGCGCCGGGCCAGCGGCACCTGCCGTGGGCTCCAGGCCGGCGGGCGGCTGAGTGAGCACCGCGGGCCGCGGGCGCTGTCTCCTCCGTCCAGTTCCCTCGTCCCTCCTCGTCCCCCCCCCCGCCATCTGCTTCCTTGCGCGCGCCGTTCTTTTTCCGCGTGCCTGCGCGCCGGGCCTGGACCGCCTCAGGCATGCGTTGTTTCTTGCCTCGTGCGTCTCGCCGCGCTGATTGGGGTCACGCGCGTGTCGGATGGGAGCGCGATGTGCCCTGGCGGGCGCCAGGAAGTGCAACATTACAATTATTGATGCATCGGCTTATCCGCGTTTGCATGCGCATCCACGGTGGTCTCATCCGCCCCCTTGGAGTCGAAATGCTGTAAGGACAGTATGTCCGTGCCCTGGCTCTAGGGCTTCCCCCGCCTCTTCATCCTTCTTCTCCTTCCTTCTGCACACCGAGGCAGACGGCAACAGCGTTGAACTTCTCAGCGCGGACAAGTCCACCAAATATCTTGGTCGCAAGCTCACGTTCCACGACTCTCACCAGGCTGAGCTCTCCAACCGACTCGCGTTTGGATGATGCCGTTTCAATCAATTTCGTGACGAACTCACAAACAAAAAAGTACAGCCTTCACAGCAGACCCATGCTTTTCAGATGAACAGAAACGCCAGCAATTACGCACGCCTGCAATTCATGGACGCTCGCCAAAGACATGCCCCAAACATCTCGACACACCAAACGGCGGATGCTACGTCTCATTGTGCACACCCCGAGGCATCGGACGAGACACAGCGGCACCGCAACTGGCAACGCCAACAACTCCGTCGACGGGATTCATTTCGACGACGGAAGCAAAACCGACACAACTGCAGACGACAGCAAACATCGGCCGGATCTCGAGGCTGGCGACAACGACGCCGACCTGAAATTGTGAAAAGATTTCATACGCAGGGCAACGCGCATAGCAACAGACATTGCAAAACGGGCCAACAGACAAATGGACGATGATTTGATTCGGACGCAAATGGCGATTGACGACAAGTGGACACGGTTCGCTGCGTCATGGGAGCCAGACTCATACGACCGTCGGCGAGTTACGCAGACACGAAAGCCAGCGGAAAAAATGGAAGTATGATATCGTACAGTTTCTCGAAATAATGCCTCTTGAGAAAGCGTTTCTACAACATTCGGAGTTCCAGCCTCCGCCAGTCCAGAATTCTGACCTCTAGCCTGCAGCATCAAACTTCCAACCCACACCTCCACTTATCGACCTCCAACCTCCACCGGCTCAGCACCCCGACCTTCAGCATCCAATATCCAATTTCCCACCTCCATTTGCATCTTTCGACCTCCAACCCCCCCGGGTTCAGCACCCCGACCCCCAGCATCCAGCATCCATCTTTCCACCCTCACCTCCACATATCGACCTCCAACATCCAACTGTCCACCGCCACCTATCGATTTCCAACCTCCAACAGCTCAGCACCCCGACCTCCAGCGTCCAGAATAAAATTGACCACCCCACCTCCACATAACGACGTCCAGCCTCCACTGACTTAGCATTCCGGCCTCCAGCCTCCAGCATCCTTTTTTCCCACCTCCGCTCCCATCGATCGACCGACGGACTCCATGAGCTCACCACTCCGACCTCCAGCCTCCCACTGTCCACTTCCACCGCCACGTCCACAAATCGACTTCCAGCCTCCGCAGCGTACCGCACCGACGGTCGAGAGCATCCACTTCCGCACAGGAGGGTCCTGGCCCGCCCGCCGCCGGCCTTCCGGGCCCCGCCGCCCCCGCGGACATTGGCGCGTTCTGCTCTGGTCTTTGTCCTTAGCGCTCTCCTTTCTCGTCCTCCCTTTCCTCCTGGTCCCCTCTTTTCCCCCCTTGAATTCGCCTTCCTGTCCCATCCCGTCCCGTTTAGTGCCCTCCATTCCCCCTTTTTCGTGTCACCCCGTCACCCCTCCCCATTCCCATCCCTTTTTTCCTTCCCTTCTGCTCCCCTGCCGATTGGGCGAGGATACTTGGATTGAAATTCAGTTTAAGGCTAAGAGTGTGATCGTATACTACGGGCATTTCTAGGCCAGAGGTGTGAGGATATTTCGCTAGCAGCATTATTTCATGGGGTGCTGATATTATGCTGGCACCAGGAAGAAGATATTTTGGTGGCAATCTTACCCAAGGTCAATCTTAAACCAAGGCCGATTTCATTGATGAGGCTGCCCAGCCGTAGTCTGGGGCCCCAGCCCGAGCGCACATGTGCAATCTCGGGGACGTCAGTGGGCTGCAAATGCCATTCGTGCAGTTTTACACGTGCCTGGCACGCGAGCGGAGGGACAATGATATGGGCGGGGCGGGAGGAGGGAAAGAAGAGGATAGGGGGTGCAGAAAGGCGCGCAGACGGAAGCGAACGCCTCCTCCGTCGCCAGCGCCCCGTTGGCGCGAGGGAGAGCAGGAGGGGGCGACCTGTGCGTGGTGTGCCTGTCCAGCACCAAGACGCACGCGTTCTTGCCTTGCGGGCACAGGCGCCGTTCGCCCATCGCTCTCAATCCTGGTTTCTCGGTCTCTAGCTTTGCACCTGTCTCGTCGTTCCCCTCCTGGCACTCATTCCCCTCTCGCGATTGTTCCATCCTTCCTCCGTTCATGACCCGTTGTTTTCCTCGGGCTTCCCCCCTATCCTGGCGCTCCGCCTCCGTGGGCGAATGGATTGCGCAATGTATTTGTGCGTTTATTTGCGCACGTGTATGTGCATGTGTGGCCGCGGGTCGGCCGACCTGCAATTGCGCATACGCACAGGATTCAGATGCAAGCGTATGTCTATGACCAGACGAACCCACAATGTACGTGCAGCTCCATTGATGAGATCACGCGCGATAGTACGCACACATGTGCTCATACGAGTGTACGCAGATGCCTTCATAGAACCCCCCTGGCTGTTTCTCTCCTTCTATCTCTCTCTCTCTTTCTCTCTCTGTCTGTCTCTCGCAGTCCCCTCACGTGTCTGGCCTTCGCGTTTCCTAACGCACCCGCCCTTCCGCATCTGACGCTTTGGCGCCCCCGCCCTGTGAGATTCCGGCCTCCCCTCCGCCCCGAGGTGCGTCTGCGCCGAGTGCGGCAGCGCGGTGGGCGCGCTGGGTTGCCCGCGTCTCGCTCTCGCCCGTGCAGCCCCCGACAGGTCGCAGCGTGTCCTTCAGAGCGCCTGCGCGGGTCCCCGGCCACGACTGTGTCATCGGTACTGTGGTCTCCATCCTCCTCACCCTCTTACCCCTCCTCCTCCTCCTCCCCCACTCCTCCTCCTCCTCCTCCTCCTCCTCCTCTTCCTCCTCCTCCTCCTCCTCCTCCTCCTCCTCCTCCTCCTCCTCCTCCTCCTCCTCCTCCTCCTCCTCGTGCATGTCCGCATTTCTCGGCGGCAAGATCCCGACCCTACCCTCGGCGGCGAGCGAGGGGGGAAGTGGGAAGGAGAAGGCCTTCTCAGAAGGCGGCGGGACTTCTCAGAAGCCCCCGCGCCTGCTGAGAGGTGTGCTCCTGTCTTCCAGGGGAGGCTCAGGGCACTTTCCAGAAGGCCGAGGGATTTCGAGCCTTCTGAGAGGGGCCTTCTCCTGCTCGCTTCCCCCCCTCGCTCGCCGCCGATATCAGATCCATGGCAGAGAATCTCCTACTCGTTAGAGTTAAGTCGGGCATGTCCCTCTACAGGAGGAATTTCCAAAAATATTCATTAAATAGTCTGGAGACGATTTTCCTAGTATTTTTTGACTACTTCGAATAGGTGTTGACCATTCTTGATTTGTTCCTCGAAAGTCCGCCTGTGGGAAGACGTGCCCGACCTGACGTTAGAGTGACTTTTCGCCGGAGCGACCTCTGGTGCGGGCCCACTGGCCCCCCCTCCCCCCCGCACGCCTGCACGCTGGGATTTGGCGCCCCGGCGGCCTTTCCAGGGCCGGGCACCGAAGCTTGCTCCTCTTGCCCGGGGGGTCACTCCTTGCGCGTATAGCCGAGTGGAAAAGGGAGGAGGAGCAGAGGAGGGCGAAAGAGATAGGAGCGCGAGGAGGAGGATCCCGCAGCGCAGGCCCAAGCACGAGGACGAGGACAGCGCATGTCCCCAATTGATGTCCGCCGATGTGCGTGTGTGTGCTCACGCGCGTGATCCACGGCAGGAGGAGGCAGGGCATCCGAACTGCGGTGGCAGCTTGACTCTGCGAGTGGCGCGAAGAATGCGTGTGCCGTCTTTCATCTTCATGTCCGCGTCTCTCGGAGGTTGGGTCGCCGTCCTCGTCTTCTTCCTCCCTCTTGGGGGTAGAACCAAGCTGCGTTCCCAATCCGCAGGCATGTGAGGACACCACGCAACTCGAAGAGCTGCGGCGACCGTTGTTCAGGAGCGGTCCCTCCCGGCCCCACACGTAACGTCAGGGCACAGCATCACATGCACATACGGCATATGGTGTACCCGGCCCGTCACGCTGACCAATTAGATTTTCGGCTGCCCCGACTGGCCACACGCTGGAGCGAGCTGCCTCTGCCTCGCCGCCGACGAAACATTCTCGGAGGCTGGGTGGGTCGGGCCGACTCAAATCGCGAGCCCCCAACCTGAAGAGCGGTCTCGGTGTCGGTTCGTGCCGTGCGCGACGTGCGTGGCGGGCAGGCGAGGCGAAGAGCAGCACGAGCTCCTCGCCCAGCTGGGCACCCAGGTCGCACCAGAGTGGGTCAGCGTCCGGGCTCCCCCGGCGCGCACCGGGGCTGCCCCGCCGATGTCCAGCGTTGGTCCCGCGGCGTGGCCCGCTCTGTCGTGCGATTGTCTTGTGGCTGCTCCGCGGTTGTCCCGCCGTTGTCCCGTGGTTGCACCGCGGCTGTCCCGCACTTCTCCCGCGGCTGTCCCGCGGTTGTCATGCGGCTGTCGCGTTTGCAGACAGATAGCGAGGCCGATAGCTAGATTGTGAGATCAACCGAGAAGCTGATGGTTGTAACGATAGATGTATAATGAGATTTTCGTAGAGTGAGGCCGACTGCTATGTCGAAAGTGGCATCGGCAGTTCCACTGTGAGACCGATGGATCGTGAGACCAGCACATACCATTGATAGTGATATTGGTAAGACCATTAGTGAAACCGACAGATAGTTGGATCGGTGTCCCGTGATTGCTCCATGGTTGTCTTGTGGTTGTCCTGCGGTGGTCCCGTGATTGACCCGCGATTTCCCCGCGGTTGTCCCGTGGTTGTCCCCAGCTTGTGCCAAGGTTATCTCAGGGTTATCTCAGTGTTGTCCCGTGGTTGATCCGCGTGTGTTCCGTGATTGTGAAGTCTGTAGGTAACTGAAATGCGGGACTGAGAAATACATAGTGGGGAGAATGTATGGAATCGTTGGTGATATCCAAGAATACAGATAGTGGCACGGATAGATAATTAGTGAGACCGAATGTTCTGGTGGCCGTGGTATCGATTGATACACAGCGAAGCCAGTAGACAGGGATCGGTACATGGATGTCGAGATCGCTAGATAGATCGCAAATTCGATCCGACGCCGATCGCACACCGAAAATTGCATTCGCCCCCCCCCCCCCCACCACCACCCCCACCACCCTCCCCACCGTCCTCTCACCAGGGAGGAGTCGTACAGGGTTATGTCCATATTAAACATTCACATATATGTCTATACACATGTATATCTATACATAGTGAGGGGTCGAGAGAGAGAGAGAGCGAAAGACAGAGGTATACATATATATATATATATCTAAAAATATAAATACATATATAAATATGTAGTTACACCTATATATATATATATACCCATGTCTATGCGTTTGTATATATATATATATGTATCGAAGACGCCTACGGCGACTCGCCGCCGCCCCCTGCCTTCTAGAATCGCCCATGTGGCCGAGCGTTGTGGCAACAGCTCTGCGAAGCTATCGGACCATGTGGTCCCCCAGCCGTTGTGGAAACCCTTAGGGGAACACTTAGGGGAGGATGGCGGGGAAGATTAGGAAGAGGCGGGGGAGGAGGTGGAGGACGAGGAGGAGGAGGTGGAGGAGGTGGAGGAGAAGAAGGAGGAGGAGGAGGGGGCATCTTGGGAGCCTCTGGGGACACTTTTGCGCTCCTGGGAGCTTCCTGGGAGCCTCTTGGAGGCATCTTGGGGGCCCTTGTGGAGGTCTCTTGGTGGCCTTCGGGGGCTTCTCGGAATCATCCTTGGCCGTCTTGGTGGGTTCCTGGCCCGTCTGACGCCGTCGGAAGCAGTCTTGGGGGCCTCTCTGGGCCGATTTGGAGCCTCTTTGGGGTGCTCCAGGGCCGTATTGGAGGCCATCTTGGGTGTCTTGGAGGCCTCTTGGGCCCTCTTGGGGCCCTCTTGCGGCCTTCTCGGGGGTTTCTTGGGCCGTTCTGGGGCCATCCTGGAGGCCTCTTGGGCGATCTTCGGGCGATCTTTGGGGGCTCTTGGGCCGTCGGAAGGCAGAAATGAAGCGAATGCCAAAAATCCTTCAAACATTTACGGACAATCATTGATGTTGGCTTCATCGGGCTTTCCTGGACTCTTGGCCCGTCTGACGCCGTCGGAAGCCGTCTTGGGGGCCTCTTTGGGCCGACTTGGGGCCCTTTTGGGGTGCTTTATGGCCGTTTGGGATGCTTTCTTGGGCGTCTTAGAGGCCTCTTGGGCTTTCTTTGGGCCGTCTTGGGGGCCTGTTGGGTCGTTCTGGGGCCATCTTGGAGGCCTCTTGGGCGATCTTGGGGCGATCTTTGGGGCTCGTGGGCCGTCTCGGGCCGTCGGAAGGTCGAACAGAAGCAAATGCCAATTGTGTTCATCAGTTGAAGGGAAATCACTGATTTTGGCCTCTTGGGCCGTCTTGGGCCATCTTAGAGCCATCTTGGGCCGTCTTGGTGGGCTCATGGCCCGTCTGACGCCGTCGGAAGCCGTCTTGGGAGCCTCTCTGGGCCGATTTGGGGCCCTCTTGGGATGCTCCAGGGCCGTCGTGGAGGCTTCCGTTGGCGTCTTAGAGGCCTCTTGGGCCCTCTTGGGGCCGTCTTGGAGGCCTCTTGGGAAATCCTGAGGCCATCTTGGAGGCCTCTTGGGGCGTCTTGGGCCGCCGAAGGCCGAAAAGGAGCAAATACGAAAATCATGCAAACACCAAAGGATAATCAATGATATTGGCCTCTTCGGGCCCTCCTGGAGGACCTCTCGGAGGCCTCGTGGGCCGTCTTGGGGGCCTCTTGGGCACCTCTTGGGCAGCTTTGGGCCATCTTGGAGGCTTCTTGGGCGGACTTGGAAGTATCTTGGACCCTCTTGGGCCGTCTTGGAGGCCATCTTGAGCCATTTTGGGCGAACTTGGAAACCATCTTGGGCCAGTTGGACCCTCTTGGAGGCCATCTTGAGCCGTCTTGGAGGATTTGTCCTGGACGTTGAGGTCGTTTGCGCGCCTTTCCGGGTGGCCAGCGGGACAGGCCGAAGCCCCAGAGGTGAAAAGAGCCAAAACCAAAAGCGGTAGCGTCTAGCTCACCGGGCGCCTTTGTGACAAGCACAGGGGGCGACCTTCGGCCCATCCCGCCACTGTGCCTGGGTTGTGGGCTAGAGTCTTCTCGTATGTTCGTTGAATATCGTGGGAGGCCTCTCCGGGGGCCTCTTGGAGGCAGTTTTGAAGCCTCCTGGGGGCCGTCGGGGAGCCTCTTGGGGCATCTTTTTGGGCCTCCTGTGGGCCTCTAGGGGGGCTCTTGGGCTCTCTTGGGGGCCTCCTGGAGGCTTCTTGGGACGGAAGGCTCAAAATGTAAGTTCGTGTTCCCCGATTGGGCCCCTCTTGGGGCTATTTTGGGGCCCTCTTTGGCGATTTTGTACGCCTATTGGGCCATTTGGGGGCCCTCTTGGACCGTTTTGGGGCCCTTTGGAGGCCTCTTTGGCCATCTTGGGACGGTCTTGGGGGCCCCTGGGGCCATCCTAGAGCGTCGGAAGCCCGAAAACGCAAAAACAACACAAGGAAAATCCAAGAATTGTGCCTCTTTGGGGCCCTCTTGGGGGTCCTCTTGGAGCGCTCTCGGGGCTTCGTTAGGGCCTCTTGGGCCGTCTTGGGGCAATCTTGGGCGTCTTGGACCGCTCTTGGGCTGCCTTGGACGCCTCTTGGACCCCCTTGGGCGCTTTCTAA